CATTTCCATTTCAATTTTCTGCTCAACAGAGTTGATGTATGTGGCGAATCACATGGCAAGACCAGCCTCCACCTCGGCCTCCAGCCTCCTGTTATTCACTGGCTGGAGCACCTCTGTGTCCTTGTGTCTCTGAGACCTGTGGGAGTGTTTTATCCAGTGAGAGCATCAAGCTCATTGTCATTGACTCCAAGGCAGAGAAACAAATGAGGAGACTCTCTTGGTACAGATGTGTTTATAAATGGAGTAATTAGACCTGTGTCCTATTGACATAAATACCACACTACATACCGTCACCACTTCCCACCACTATGAATAAATGAAGCCAAAATGTCATGAATACGGCAGCTGCCATCTTGCTTTTGTGCAACCAGATTCTGTGCAGTAGCAACCAGTGGAACGACAGCATTAAACCGCCAGTCAAAGTTGTCAAATCAACCAAATTACACTTTTGACATCATCAATGACCTAAAAATAACCTTACCAGAAAAATGACCGCTTGTTCACACATCGATGTGATAATATCTACCCAAAACCCACAGACATGACTTTTGGGAAAAATGTATCTGATTTGTACTTTGAGTTTTTAGTTTGGCTCATGTCCCCTCCACTAACACGAAGGAGGCAGGATTTATGACCTACAGAGTAACCAGCCACCAGGGGGCGATCACATCGCGGTGGTTTCACTTCTGGGAGCTGTGGTGGTGTCCATATTTTATACAGCGGATGGTGTGTCCACTGAGGGGTACCATGTTTCGTAATATCAGCTAACAATGAAAACATATTCTGTAAGAATAAGAAGCCCTGACTGACAAAGTAGACAGTACACAGGCAACACGGTGTGGTTATCACTGTACTGATTCGTCACTACATGGACACAGCCCTGTCCAGGACTACTTGCAAAAATGCTATTAACTAGTATAGTTATGGAAAATACTGGATAATAAAAATGATCTCTATCTGATAATATAAGAACATGGATGGAGAATGAATGCCAAATAATGTATCCTGTGAGAGAGACTCATGAGCAGCAGTGGGCTCGAGCCCTTAGTCATACAGGATCAACATTTCCCTTTAGTACACAGGCAGCTACACTTTAATACATTGTGATTTTGAAACATTTCATAATCAGAAGAAAAGGTTTTACATGTCTGAACAGTTCATGAACTCAAAGGAAAACTCTCAGTTAATGCTTTTAATGCAAAATGTATATAATATGCTGCAAAAACAAATGAGGTTGGTTTTTAATTTCCTCTGTTTTAATGCAGTTTTTCTTTATGGATGTATTTGAGATTTTAGCTTTTGCTTGTTATTTTGTGAAAAAGGAAATCCAAGAATCCAAGAATGTTTTCTTAAAGAATTTTCAAGCAAAAATGTTAAAATAACTGCATTTGTGAAATTAAAAGATTCAACTTTGAATAGCCCCAGAACCAATGAGAATTCAGTTTAAATGCCACAACATGTCTATCTTGTAAAATATGTTTTAAAGAGAAAAAGAATTGTCACAATCCAGTTTCAACTGTGCTGAGTAATACCCAGCAGGTGTATTCATTATTCAATATAATCACAACCAACAATACTGGACTTGAATCTAGTATCGACTGAGTTTTCACCATCAGCCAACAAGATGACACCCCACAACGAAAATGAATTGACTCAACATCCACCGACGGCTGGTAATTGCCAAACCATCTCTTTGGCACCATGGTCTTAGTGATAAATTGTAATTTACTTTGAGGTAACGCTAAGTGTGGCCATGTGTGTATGTGTATGAGAGGAGAGTAGATAGGCTATGTATAGAGAAGAAAGTGTCAAGAGGAGACGCAGATTGAGCTTATCTCTGAGCTCAGGCCTTCCTTTGTCAGAACAGCTCCTTTCTGATGACAACTCTTTGAACCTGACAGAATAATTAAAGAGGAAGGAGGAAAGCTGACATTAGCATTCTGACCTTTGAGATTTACATGGCGGAAATTACTCCCAGTTTCCTCCACACCACATTATAATAGCATTTTGCCCTTGTGTGTGTGTGTTTGTGTTTAAAACCATGCATTTAGGTATGCATTTATGAGTGCACGTGCGTAGGTGTACATAATGGTTCTATATTTATACAGGCAATGTGTATTTATGAGAGTGTGGGAAAGAATAAAAGAATAGATTTATGGCACATTACCTGGCCATCTCTTCATTAAGGAGCTGCTTCCCCGTAAGCGGGCTCTATTTGAACAGCTAAATTGTCCAAGCAGTGTGCAAACGAGCACTAATAGCCCAGTGCCCTTGTCACAGGAGGCCTCGCTGCCAAAGTTAAACTGCAGATCCTTGGACCTGATTATGTGTGTGTATGTTTGAGAGCATGTCCACTAACAGTATTTCTCTTAATTCAATGGTTTGTTATTCTAATGTCCACTTTGGTGTGGCTTCATTTTGTAAGTCAGAGGACTTCTTGTGAAACTTAGAACAGTCTACCTTAGGCCTAGCCCCGTGATAGCTAACACGACTTCCAGCTATCTGAGAGAGACAGTACAGTGGTACGCTACAGGCAGGGGGCAGATCAGCAGCCGACACTAGCTTAGGAGTTTGTTTAGTCAAATAGAAACTCTCACAGCTTAATCTATCAGCAAGTCAATACTAACAAAAGCACGATCTGATCATTTTGTACTGTTGGTGTTAGTTTAATCTGTAGAATGATGGATGTCATTTTCCAGGGGTTTCCTCCCAGTATCTGTGTTTGCAGAAAGCAAAAATGTAAAGTTGTTTTAATGTAATTATTACCTGACACCTAATCTGACTTAGCCTACACCATTTTATATACTGTACACATCCACCTCGTTTGAATGAGGTCACATGAAACTATTACAAAATCTGTCTCGGCTTCTCTTCATCGCCGCCTTCTGAGGCCTCGTCTCCCTCTCCCCTTTCTCCCACAGCTGTTGGCCTTTTCTAACTAAGATACTGAAGTAGCACAGCCTAAAGTTGCATATAGAGTCAGACCTAGTATTTTTTTCTGTCACACTTGTCCTTGTGTCTCTAAAGAAACACTCTGAAATTTGATGCTGACATCCCACCCAGTGTTTTCACGAGTCTTTGTCTGAATTTGGAAGAGATTTTTATTGAGAGATGAGACCTGCAGGTTAACAGTCGACAACACAGAGAAAGTTTGGGCATAGCTACAAATGTGTGTGTAGACATTTTTTATACCCATTATTTTCATTTTCTGTAGTGTTTTGCAATTTACAGCACAAAGGTTGTCTTCCCAAATTTTCATTCATCCATTGTCATTTTATGTCAAGAAATACCATTAGGCTTCATACTCCTGAAGCAATATGACAATTTTTGGAGGCATGAAATGTTGAAAAGGTATTTGGAGGCACAATTTTTTACTGAGAACACTGAACAGCACCACAGCGAGATAGACGGGGAATTGTCAGGCCCGGGATACAAGAAATTCTGAGTAGAAAATACATTTGTTACAAATATATGAAACCCATTTCTTTAGAAAAGAAGTGCTTAGAAGGTCTCAACTGTTTGTGACGAATCATCTTGGGTCCATCTGAAAGACAGAAAACTGAAAAACATAAGGGAAAGGCAGAGGCACAGTTGCTTTAAATGTTAGTGTCGACTGTGACAAAGGAAAAAAATGCATCAAAGATGTGAATAATTTTATAATTTCTCAGTACTCAGTTCCTTCAGTCGATGTTTAGGAAAAATAATACTGAGGAATTAAACATTCTGACCTATTTCAAATGTTTCCCTGATTTCTGATGTTCTTTGTATTCAGAGAAATGAAAAGTAAATGAGGTTTCAGGGAGGATCTTATTTATTATATTGGGGTTTTGAGTGTATGTTGACACGTGTATGTTGCAAGCTTTCCAAAACATTGACTACTGCTGATACTGCATGTGTCTATACCTTTCCTTTTAAAAGATGAAGGCATACAGTGCAATAAGAGTGCTCACCACTAGTTAATCCTAGAAATGACAGTGAAAAACTGCACCTGGGCTTTTTGTGGCGATGCAGCAAAGCCCAGTTCTCCTCGGCCCGAATTGTTTCAAAGTGGCATTTTTGCTGTTGTCAGGGAGGTCTGGTTAACAAGAGGGACAGAGGTGCAGTCTAGGACCACTAGCACTTCTTTGCAGAACTGCCAGGGAACTACAGGTAGTAACTACATTTGCAACATTATATCTGTCAAGGTTAAAGGACAGAAGCTCATTTTGTAACAGCTGGTGGAGGAGAACACAGTATAATACTATGCATACAGTATATGATGCAAGTGGCATTCAGGTGTGGATTGTATGGCGTTATATAATTACTTACTGAACACTACCTGTGATCATACCTTAATTATGATTAGTTTATATAACTGATCAAATCAAATATTCAGAAATAATAAATAGAAATAAATAAATAGAATTTGAGCGTAAACCGTCATAGACCACATGGGCATCTATATTGTACTGCCACCTAGTGACAGAATCGTTCCTCAATCTGTAAGATGGTCTTCACTCAGTTTTACAGTTGCTACCTAATGATATTGTATTATATCCCAGTTGTTATGGAGAAAATAGCATTTCTTAGTGAAATCCATCAAATTCTTGTGGAAACCTATGGTAGATCTCTAAAGTCACAAAGGCAACACTCAAATTCAAAAGGTATTTCTACTTGTCCTTGTCCTGCTGTTTAACAGCTTCATTATAACCTTTATATTACTGCCTGTCTGACATATTCTTCAATCAAATGTAAATAAGGGAGAGAATGGCCACAGAAAGAGGCGAAACTCTAAAACAAACAAACACACACAAATATTTGTTAATAGAAAGGGCTCCCTGCAAAATGTATTTTTTTTAGAAGCTTTTGTGATACTACTATCACAAATAAAGCTATTTTGATGTGGTGAAAAGTTATAAATCAAATATAGCGGTCATGTTTTCTGTTTTTTAAACATACACTCAAATTCGAATTTGAGTGTATGTAAATATCCCAAACAGATATGGCATTCAATAAACTGGACACTTTTATTGATCTCTGAACAGCGTGTAAACATTTAAGAGCTGACACTGAGCAGACAGTCCAGATATCAGGCATCACACTGAGTCACGCTAGAGTTCCGGATGCAGCAGGACTTTAGCTGTCTCCATGTTTTTGGCCACTGTTGAAGGAGAGAAGAGAAACAGAGGACAAATACGAGTCAGTTAAACGCAAAGGCTATACAAGCTATGTAGTTGCTGCCTGGTTTCACCTCAGGGTGCTCAATAAGAGTTTAGCTTATTATACTGTATGTTGTCTAGGTAACCTTCAAGTTTGAAGTACAGTAGGTACGTAGCTAGTCTGTGCACCATCCAAGATCCTAATAGTGCTGTTATCCAAAATAAACCAATGCACTGCATTCTTGTTTCAACCAGAAGTGTTTTAAGACAACCTGTAGTCAGGTCAACAAAGTGATGTGTAGTAATGTTAGTGAGACCACGCTTTTCAGACTTTAAACATGTTATGCATATTAAAGGTGCAATATGTTATCCAAATGTAAACAGCAGTATAGCCACCAAAGTTTTAGGTAATTCTATAATATATAATTAATAATAAGTATTAAGTAATTCAAGTAAATGTCACTTGCTTTGTCTTAATTCACAATTATTATCTTATGTGGGCTTGTGTTCTGCTAAAAGCAGGACATTCGTATATCTCTTACAGAACATCTAGTATGCTGTGATACTGATTTCAGTTTTGGTTTGCATGCTAGCATATTTACTCCAATCCATCGTGCAGATGTTGAAATACTTCAGTGGATCAGTAAACACTTTGACCTGCTGTTGGTGCTACAGGAAAAGTCAGTAGCTCACCAGATTCAGTTAGATTAATCCTCTGAACCAAATTTCATGGCAATTCAATCTATAGCTGATGAAAGATTCAATTCAAAATCAAAAACGACAACCTCATGGCAGGACTAGTGAAAAAACCAGGAGCCATCATCTGGGGACCATGAATGTTTGTACAGAATCTCATGGCAGACCTGGACCAAAGTGAACATGTCTACTGCATCTGAAGCTTGTTGCATTGTGGCTCAATAGTTAATACACATCTTGCAACTAGTAGAAAGCGAATCCTTGTGCAAGCTCTAGAGGGGTATTTATGCTCTAGCTCAAAGCGGGAAAAGCACTAATCTTATTTGAAGACTTCCGGCAGCTGGACATTGAGTCTTATCACATGGAAATGACCTACAACCAAATTCCAAGCGAATGTAAGTTCATTTCTATTTATATTTGTTAGGGGAGTCTTCACCTTTCTTTCTGTCAGACCCGTGTCATAAAAAAGTATCATTTTTGTCAAAATATTGAGAGAGGAAAATGAGGGTTAAAAACAGCAGGGGTTCAGTCTGTGTTCATACTGCTGACAGGTGAGGTTTGCAGCCACCAAACCCCCTTCCTTCCTCCCACCACAAACTATTTCCCATCCATCCCTCTTCCCACAAACTGTCATTAGAAAGAGTGGAAGGGTGCTCACATAGTGGCAGGTCAGCAGCCTGGTAGGTGTAGCGGTGGTTTGAGTACCTTCCTCTAATGTCTGTGCGCACAGTCTTAGACGGATCTGCAGAAGATGACACGTACACATAGACAGCTGAGGAGACTGGCCATCATTACCTGAATGTTATAACTGTTTCGACTTTATTTAAAACAGAGTGCACAGTCCTAGTTTCCCAAGCACTTCTCACACTGTTGTTAGGAATATATGACTACAGAGTGCTAGTCTTTCCTTCTCATCACTGCCATATCTACTACATGGCATCTTTTATGCTTGAATCCCTATTTTACTACAAATACATAAAACTACTGTGAGATTTTTGCATGTCCCAAAGAAACACGCAAATCAGTGCTTTCAAATATTCTCTTGTAAGATGGGCTGAGCACATCGGATAGGATAGTTTTTACCATTTGATTGTAGAGGAAACAAATCTTTTCAGTTGAACAATGACTAAACCGTATTTTACAAGTTCCAAATTATGATAAATGATGTGAATACAGTATTTACCAACAAAAATGATCCTGGGAACATAATAGCCATCAGGTGCCAGATTCTTATCCCCAGTCTCTGTCTATAAGAACAATATAATAAAGTATAAACAGGAGAATTTTCCATGATTTACATTAAGATATATGACTAATTAGCAGTGCATATGAATTTACATAATAATAATAACATAAACTGATGAAATTCTGTGCTCAAAATCCAAAGAAGGTACTAGTTGAAAATATAATATTACATTTTTAATGGCTGCAGTTTCTATTGAATGTATTACTGAGGGAAAAAGTTTCTCATATAACAAATCTATACTTACCACCGTGTTAAGCATAATGAAATCCTCCTTGGCCATTTTCTGGATGGACTTAGCAGCAACAAATGCCTTCTTCAGTGCTGTTGAAATAATTGAAATAAAAAAAAAAAAACAGTTTTAAAAACTGGCTTTAAAGTACCTATGGCACTGGTATGTGTTTTGGCCCACGTTCTAATCATTTTTACTTTTGACAGACACAAAGGATAGTTAGGAATACATATCCTTGTCTTATTTTCTTGTCAGCGATTGTACAGTACAATAAGATGAATGCCTTTCTGTGTAGGTGGTCTTTTGTGTTTATGTGGTGGAGACTCCCATTGAGCTCACTTCCAGCTGACTGAATTATGAACATAATTCTTACCTGTTTTTTTTCCTGCTTGGCAGGTATTAAAGAATGAACCCATTGTGTTCCCCATGAAGCCAAGCCCAAGTCTGGGTTAGAAGGACAACGAGGAATGTGCAAGTCTATGCTTTTAAACTCAAAACTTTTAATAACAGAGTTATTGCAGTACCTTTACTGTGTGGGCAGTCAAGTTTATGATGGATGACCATCAGAGGCTTCTTACTGTGAGAACAAAACCACAGAGAAACAACTGAACACATTCCTCAGCACAATAAGCACAACGGTGGGTGTGAGTTCATTCTTGTGCAACATAGTTCCTGCAAAACTGAAGTCATCATGCCATATTTTGAAAGAATAATGATGAATAAAATGCTGTTATTACTTTAATGAGACAATAGAGCTACAGCTTATTTTAGGGGCACACAGTACTAGAACAGATGCATTATGCAGTATTTTGACCCCAACTTGAGCACATGAGCCATCTAATCATCCTCACTGACATATGATTAGGATAATTACAATGAAAATATATCCCAGTCAACCATCCCAGCACAGAGACTTTATATATACAGTGATACATTTTTCAAACAAATAAAACATCAGCATGCAGGATATATAAATGGTATCTCACTGTATTTTTTCATGGGTTCTTAGAAATCTATGAATCATCAAAATTACACATAATTAGATGGTAGTATTTTCTCTTCTTTTTGTGGGGTGATAGTAATTTATGTGTACACCATCTGTGCCTTGAAAAAGCAGCTATAACAAGAAAGTAAAGGTCATAAATTGCAGCTTCCTATGTGCATTCTGTTCTTACCGCCAAAACTCATAACGGTTATTAAGATGTAGAGTCTCACCTCTTCACCGTCATTTGTAGGGCCTCTTTATAAGTTTTGACCCATTTAATACTATCTCCCCATCCTGCAGGCAAAAAGAAAAAAAATCTGAGTCAACAACAATAAGGTCTAGTGCTCTCTGTTTTCATTAAATTAACCGAGTTCCTTCACAAGCAAAGAATTTTAAAAAAGGAGCATCACCAACCTCTTGCCAATGACTCGGTCTTCTGTTTCTTTTTTTTCTCTTCTCCGGCACTGGCACAGCTACCAATGAGCAAAGCCAGCAAGACCCAGCGAAGCATCCTTTCGTGTCCTTTGAGACAACTGCAGCGGTAGATAGATTAGCATGGAATTCAGTTAGATGTTCATTTGAGAGACAGTTTGATTTTTGACCCACAACAGCACACTTCATGTCTTCCTCTGTAATGCTGGCTCACCAAACAAGCTCGACAAGGCAGTGATTGAAATGATTGTACAACAGCAACACCGAAGAAGAAGTTCAAAAAGAAGCATTGTAAAATAATAAAATAAAATAATAATAAAATAAAATCTGCACTGTTATTGTTAAAAACATAAACATGATAAAACACATCACTGTACCATTACTAGAACTTTTAAAAGCATCAGTTTTAAAATGTAGGTCTAAAACAGTCACTTGAATCCTTAGTTATACACAACATTTACAGTAAAAAGTTTTCCACCCAATCAAACATTCAACTTTTATGAAAACAATATACAAAATGTAGTTCACAATTTAAGTATTTTTGTCACTTGAAGTCATATATAATAGATGTCTTACCTTGTCAGCAAGAAGCAACAGACAGACGATCTTAGCCTTTTGTGTGCCTTCTCTTTTAGTAGATGTTTCAGTAGAACTCACCAAACAGGTATGACAGAGGAGTATGCTATAAATAAAGAAGATTAATCACTCAGTGAAACACACATATTGTGGAATGCCTTTAAGGTGCAGTAGGCAGAGTAGTAGCTATATGTTCAGAACCAGCTTTATTGGCCAGGTGTGTTGAACACGCAAGGAATTTCACTCCGGTACAGTGTTGAGAGTATTATCACCTGAAGTCCATTCACTCACAATCTTGGCTGTGAACAAAGCATAAGATAATTATAGTATGTTATAGCAAGTGGGTACAGGAAGAGTTGTGTCTTGCCATTAGTGTTATCTATCAACTGGGGGCGACTGTGGTTCAATGGGTAGAGCAGTCGTCTCCCAATCGGAGGTTTGAATCTTGGTACCTGCAGTCCATATGTTGAAGTGTCCTTAGGCAAGACACTGAACCCCCAAGCTGCCCCTGATGGTTAGAGCCATTGGTTGAGCTGGCGCCGCAGATGGCTGCCTCAGTTCTGTACCAGAAACAAATTCCTTGTGTGTAACATGCTTGGCCAAATAAAAGTGATTATCCTGTGATTATCCAACTTGTATTAGCAACACACCACTAGAGGGCTCAGCTCTGCTGCACATCTGTCCCACAGCACCTCACACATTTCCTAAAATTCACCCTATGTTACTGTTAGTCCACTCAACAGTGTGAAACTGACCCTAAGGCCTTGTGACAGTCCTATGAGGATTCCTTACTTTCTTTCTGCTAAAATGTGTCAATCTGAGGGTAAGGATGTTCTTAATACTGCAAGTGTTATAGTTTTGACCCTTTTAGCCTGCTTTCTTTTCTTTATGCACCTTGTACAGCTGAATGCTGCTGTCTAGTAACATAACAGACTTACCTATTGTATTTTTTATGGTGAAACAGTATTGTAACAGTGGCTGGTGAAGAAGAATTGGAGACGGTGATTTGTTGTTGTTTTTTTTTGTCAGCAAAAGGCTGTTTTATTTTAATGCAGGGGCAACAGAGATAACTCCAGCAGAATACACAGAACACTCTAGCTAACAACCCCGCCATCCTGATCTAAATACCTCCCACAACCAGTGACCAAGTGCTCCCCTCCCAAGCATTCTGGGAGATCCCACCAAATGTATTTCTGCCCCCAGCACTATAATATGATTTTTAAGTAAATGCCTAGATTTATCATATTTTTATTTTAAATGTAATTTTACTGATCGACAGTGTTGAAAAACGCAAAAGATCCGTGTATCTTTCTATCACTGATCTGCTACAGCTTAGATGTACATTGTTTGCTGTTGCTATGGACGCAAGCAGCGCTTAGCAACCGTAAGACCTCCGCGCATGCGCAATCTACAATAATGATGCACTGTGGGATTGCAGAATATTGACATAGCAACCAGGCGACACAGCCACCAAGCTCCTTTTCACTCTGGATTAGTTCTTGCTTTATCGTCTGTGTTTAAAGTACTTAGATTTATTTTTGCCTATTGTTATGAATGCGGCAGTGGTAAGAAAGACCCAGGATACACTGGGCAAAGTAATAAAGAAGCCACCTCTCACGGAGAAGCTGCTAATCAAACCCCCGTTTCGATACCTACTTTTTTGACGTATCTGCTAATGTTACCTAAGATTAGCAAACTGATATTTCTGTAACTAACACCAGGACCCTCTTTTGCATGTGTTTATAACTAGGCCGACACCAGCGGGACATGTCTTATTTGAAAACGCATGCAAGCGAGCTAGTTAGCACTAGCTCGTACATGATCATTAGCCTGAATTAGTCAACAGTTACGCTAATCAAGTACAGTAAGTTAAGTAACGTTAACATTAACTCCCTAGCAAATTGTCGTAGCACGAATACGGTTGGGCAGTCAGGTAACATATTGAGGGCAATCATCAGCCAAACAAAGACATTCTAAAGTTCATTAGTTAAACAGTATAAAGTTATTTATTAAGTTAATACGGTAGGTTAGCTAGTTGGCTAACCACACCACTGGCGTCGTCTAGTTACTAGGCACGAACTAAGACCACACAGGGATCAACAAACCATCTTTGTCAACTGTTGACAGCTATGTTGAATGACTGATAAGGCGGCTAACTGCCAGTTCTTCGAAACCTATATTTGTATTGTACAAACCTGTTGCAAAAAAGTTGAGATACATATATATATATGATCAAGTTGCAATCATCAATCGTTTCTCGGTGGTTGTGAAATGGTTTAGAGGTTTTGATTAACTCCAAAGTGAAATGTCTACATAGTACAACAAAATCTACGTACTGTAGCAGTAGGACAGGTAATGTAGATGAAAGAGAAATGGTGGGAAATAGTGCTACATAAAAACAGAAAACACAGCTGTTTCTCAACTATATTTTTTATTTCATTGCTAACTTTTTATAACAGAATCCTTTAACATGAGGTGACAAAGTAAAATCTGTTTCAGTTTTCTAAACAGAAGTGAAATCTTATTCCCACTCTCCACCTCTTTGGGTAGTCTCATATTTCACTGTAGGTTTATGTATATTTGATAAATGGAAGCATATCGGCATGTGTGACTGCTTTCCTCTGATTAGCAATGTACGTCACTATTCAGCAACTGAATTTTCGCTGAAGATAGTGAAGGATTTTCTGCTGAACTGTTCTCTTAACACTGTTATTTTTTAAGATGCTCTGGAATGCTTTGTCTGTTTCCTTCATTAGCCATTCACCTGTATATTAAATAGCTGCAACGCTGCAGTTTAAATTGATGTTTATTGAGATAAACTTAGAAGTGCATTAGAAAAGCTGTATGCAAAAGTGTTGCACACTGGGAAATGATATAGTTTCCAGGATTCAGAAATGGATGTACATCAGCTACATTAAAGATGATGCTGTTGTGGTATAGTTGCCTAATTATGGTTTACCCCATCAGTTGTCATGTTTCTTACATGTTTAATGGTATAAGGGCAAATTATCTGATAAAATAAAACCTTTATTTGTCATCACTTTCAGGTCATCAGGACCACTGGTTTTATGAAAGGCCTATATGGAGATAATGAAATGAAGTCAGATAATGTTAAGGTAAGTTGACCACAGTCCACTCCAGGCATCAAGATACTTGGCTATTTGGTCCTTTTTTGACACCTCTGGCCTGCTGCACAATGATATCAGTATTCATTAGCTCATAGTGTTCCCCCATATGCACTTGTATCTGTTTATTTACCTTCCTTTTGTACAGACTATGGTGTTTATGTCCTATGCAACTGCCTTACTTGTGTAGGAGCTTGCATGTGTGAGTCTAAGGGTGTCTGTGTGTGTGGTTAATCCTGCACACTCTGCGTCTAACACACTCTGAGCGACAAGATCTGACAGGACATGACTGAGAGAGCCAGTCAAGGTGTCAGACCCAGTTCTGCTGTTTGAGATACCCCAAATCAGTCTTGGCTTGGGAAGAGTACGCTACTGTCGGCTAGGAGGAGCAAAGGCTACTAAAGCTGAACTTAATTAAATGTTAGTGTTTAAAACTAGATGTGTTACATCTTAAAGTAGTTACTGTAATTAATGTTAAATTGTCTTTGTTGTAATTCAAAGTTGTTTCTTTGGGGCGGCTGTGGATTAGGAGGTAGAGTGGGTCGTTTCCTAACCGGAGGATTAGCGGTTCGATTCCCGGCTCGTCCAGTCAACATGTCAAAGTGTCCCTGAGCAAGACACTGAACTCCCGGTGATGACACCGGTGTGTGAATGTGTGAGTGTTTGGGAGTGCGAATGGGTGAATGGCCAAATAGTGTGAAAGCGCTTTGAGTGTGCTGTAAAGCATAGAAAGGCGCTATACAAATATAAGACCATTTACCATTTACCACACTGTCATAGGTCTTGTCATAGGTGCACAGTTGTTTGTCTAGTGTAGGCATATACTTAGTAGAGAGAGAAGTTCCCAAATCTCTGTGAAACTGATATAGTCTTGAGCATACTGAATGTTAGTTTTACTGTTTTAAAACAGTCAACCGATGTGATGTGTATTTGTTTAAAAAGCTGACATTTTATTCTCTAAGTGGCTTTTTTACTGAAACTACTTCCATCGGCTCTTACAGTACATTAGATTTATAGTATTTTAAATGTAATTTATGTTTCTAAATGGCTTAAAAGCCACTGCCCTAATAGCCCTACAATAGTAGTTAGTCACTGGGATTCCAAGCCCTCTAAGACATTTTCCTCAAATACAAAAATACTTAATCATGATCACAGAATGTGAATTGTTGCATTAATATACAAAATTATAGCAAGGTAGGTTGTAAGTTTACACTGAAAGACAAATTTAACTTCATGTAAAGATGCTCTACGTTAAGCTTCATTCAGATCCTCAGGCAGGTTGCTCCAGCAAAAGGTGCTTCACTTAGGGTTTTTATCCTGAGACCATAATCAAGGGAAGGTATCTTGAAATCACTACTTAAATTGACTTAACATTTGATAATGATAATCATTTTTATTGGCCAAGTATGTTGCACACACAAGGAATACAGTATGTCTCTTCAGACGATAAAGAACAATTTGGTGACATCCCATGTGGGCCCCAGAGTTTTTGTCTGAATCAAAGATAATACCAAAGCTTGTGTCTGTTGGCACATGCAATGTTGCATCCGCTTTTTCTTTCTTAGAACTTGTAGCTAATAGTTCAATTGTATTCTGGTTAAACAGGGATAACTAGGATAATCGTGTGTACACAGTCTGTGTGAATGTATATGTGAATGTATATAGAACGGTTTCTCTGTTGTCACAATTTTCAAAAATTCTGGAAAAACTCTTTAATAACAGATTAGACACATTTATTGACAAACATAAAATCCTCTCTGATTGCCAATACGGTTTTAGGTCGAACCGATCGACATCTTTGGCCATTACCGACCTGATGGAGGACATTACAAGTGCTATGGATGAGAAGAAATACACGATGGGGATATTTATTGACCTAAAAAAAGCATTTGACACAATCAATCATGAATTATTAATGGA